ACCGTGCTGGTTTATTCAAGGATCACAGGTAAAATTAACATTACACGCTCAGGTATCCTTCACCTCCAAACTGCACACAGGCAGATGAACGATGAAGAGACCCCGAACCCAACAAGCCTGTACATTATATCTGGTTTGGGCTAACCCCATTCTACACAGGCACGTCAAACCGTGGCGTCACCTGATATGTCAGCTTTACAGCTGACCATAGCAGTTGTCAAAACATGGAGAAAATCAATGTGTGTGAGTGTTGATTAAGTGGTGTGTATCTAAGAACATACAGGACATTCAGGGACATGTCCGGACATAAAGTCTAGGAAGATATTTTGATTAAGATTACGGCTAAACATGTCATACAGTAGCCACTTTCTATCTAGTTATCCTGGAACATAAACAACCTGGAGTAACTCATGGAAATGAGTAAGCATTTAACAGCCTGAGCTAGACATCCTGTCTACACTAAAGACATTTCTAATACAACAAGTACCTAACACATTAAAGTCTAATAATTATCTGACTGATTTATTAATTTCTAACACTACACAGGCTGAGGAATACAAGTGTAGCCCTTCCCATCAAGACCACAGCTTGTAGGGGTGCCATTGAAAGTGCCATAACATACCGTATCAATGTCTTGTATGCTGAAAAAAACATGCCCACCAGGACAATAGGCATCGGTCGACAGGGGAGGATTCAACGACAGGTAACAACTCTCACCAATACTGGGCTATAATGACTCAGTCATTAAGGGACATTGTTGGCCCTCAAAGGACTGAAACACCACCAAGGGGGATAAATATCTCCAGCTCAACACCAGTCAATAAGAACTGAAGAAGCCTCTTGGATGAGAGGTGAAACGTCTTCGACCTAAAAACCTAGTCCAGTTGATTTTTTCTAAGTTTTTTTCAGCTAATTATGACATGGATGACTGAGAATCTGCACAGACACTGTCTGGTATGGGAGCTGCAACACTTCAACCCCAAGTCCCTACAGAAGACAATCAATACAGCAGGCAGCATCACTGGCATGCATCTCCCATCACTAAATGACATGTTTCAGACATGATGTGCCCACAAAGCCACTGGAACCATAGATGACCCCTCCCATTCCTCTTACAGTCTCCTCACACTCCTGCTGTCTGACAGGGGATACCAAAGCATCTGAGCCAGATCAACCACACTGCTCCACAGCGTCTTCCCTCAGACTGTGAGAGAAAATGCATTCTCCCACTTCCTAAATACTACTCACAACACAGACCAAAGAACTCCTACAAAAGTAGCAACTGGCTGTGTAAGGACACTTTACTGTAGCATCCCAGGCTCTCAGATTCTGTGAAACCTGCAACTCAGCCTTCAGTTTGCACCTTAAAAATGTAATACACATTGTCATTGTATTATGTCTTTGTATTCTATTCATTTATTGTCTATTTATTGTATTGTCCTTAACCTATTATCTTGTTTTGAACTTATTATATCATCTGTTTTAAGATGATACCTCATTTAAATGTGTTTGTTCTTTTAAGAATGTATGCTTTATGTTACACCAGCAGACTAGAGGAATGACATTTCAGTCCACTGTATGTCTGCACATATGGTGGAAAGACAATAAACCTTATTGAATGTTGAATCTTGGATGCATTTATTTCTCAGAGTTACTTAAAAATGGCCCAGCTTGTGGTCTGCAAAGCATTACTTTCAAAGTGTACCTTCTGTGGCATTCGGTTCTTTTTACCATGCTAACTCTGAGAGACGAAGCAGTCCAAGTAACTTCAAAACAGTGCTGATTTATTCAATAAACACAGGTAAAATTAACATTACACGCTCAGGTATCTTGCACCTCCAACATGCACGCAGGCAGCTGAAAGATGAAAGACCCTGAACCACAACAGGCCTATACATTATCTCACTTCGGGCTAACCCCATTCTACTCAGAGAGACGCCAAACCGTGACGTCTCTCGGTGCCAGCTTTGCAGCTGGCCAGAGCAGTAGTCAAAACATGAAGAAAAATCAATGTGTGATTGTCTGTTGATTATGTGGTGTGTAGCTAAAAACATTCTAACACGACCTCTAGTGACATGTCATGACATTAAACATAAGAACATATTATGGCTAAGGCTACAGTTATACACGTCATAATAATAATATTAAACACCCTGTCTGCTGACAGTCATCAACTCTTCTCTCTAGTTATCCTTGACCATAAGCAACCTGCAGCAACTCATAAGAATGCCTAACCATTTAACAGCCTGAGCTAGACATCCTGTCTATTCTAAACATTTCTAATACATCAAGTATCTAACCAATATCTATCTGACTAAAAATACCTAACACTTCTCATGATGATAGTTTTCTGTTTTGTTGTTGTTGAAAGATTAAAAAATTAACATTTTGTTGTAATGCCTGTCATTCTTGGCAGGAATAGGCAGTAAATGATTGTTCCCTTAGAAAAAAAAACAAATTTGTATTTTCATAAAATATATGAAAGATACATATTCTAACAAAACATAGTCTGACTGCGTGCTGTTTCATGAGCTGGCACTAAAGAAAAAAGAAAACAGTTAAAATTAAAATAAATGATCAAGATTTTCAATTGATCCCCACCTAAAATCAGGCAGTGTCATTTCCAAACCATCTGGGTTTTGGATTAGAGATTTCCAGTAAAACACACAAATAACCAAAGTACTAAAACATAGTACATTCAGAGTGGATAGTGAGTCATTCTGCATGAGTACTTCTACTGGGGAGATTTTATGTTTTGCCAGAGGTGGAAAGTAAATAAGTACATTTACTCCAGAACTGTACTTAAGCACCATTTTGAAGTATTTGTGCTTTACTTGAGTAGTTTCATTTTCTGCTACTTCACTACATTTAGAGATAAATATTATACTTTTTACTCCACTACATTTATTTATTTAACTTTAGTTGCTAGTTACTTTTCAGACTCAGACATATAAAACAAAATCATTCTAATCATAAGACTTTACTGATGCTCATTGGGAAATTCACAGACTAGCCAGCAGTTATTCAAATTAGAGCTCCAGTATCTAAGGTACTTATTAAGTGTGAAATGTTCCATTCTGCATAATGAGTACCTTTACTTTTGGTATGTTCTGGTGCTAATCCTTTTGTATTTTTACTTAAGTAACATTTTGAATGCAGGACTTTTAGTTGCACCTGACTATTTTACTGTGTTGCAGTATACTTCTTCCACCACTGGGTGGCACCAGTGATTTTGGCTGGTGACAAGCCAACACTAGCTACTCCCTATGTTCATGATGAAGACAGCATATTTGGAAAAGCATGTGTGACATGGGGTCGTTCACATCCCTGGATGGAATGAAACTCTGGACGAGTCACTGAGAGCAGGTTACCACTGTTGTGGTTATTTGTTACTAAGGAAATGTGAGAGCTTTAGTTGTGTATGAGGTTTTAAAAAGTGATTGAATCCTAAAACATCCTAGAAATGAAGGAGAATACCTTTCATATAAAAAAGTCATCTCTACATAAAACTCAATTCATGTGTGTCCTTACTGGCACTTTATTAGGAACACCACTGGTAAGGCTTCGTTTTGAGCCATTGAATTCCACTAGGTGTTGGAACACTTTTTGAGATTCTGGTTCATCTTGACTTATTTCTACAAATTTATCAGCTAAACATTCACACTACCGGTTTCAGTTCTGCCACATCTCAAAGACTTGGTGGTGGATTCAGACCTGGTGACTGGGAGGCCACTGAAGTGCACTTAACTCATTTTCATGAAACCAGTTTGGTACAAACTTTGCTCTGTAACATGGTGCATTATCCTGCTGGAAGGAGCCATTATGTTCATGGTCAACATCCATGCTCAGATACGCTGTGGCGTTCCAAGCATCACCGACTGGTATTAAGGGGCACCACCAATGCCAGTCTTGGCTGTTAACACAAGGCAGAGTGGGTCCATGGGTTCATGCTGTTGATGCTTATTTCTGACCCTACTGTAAGCGTTTCCTCAGAAATCCTATATCGTAGCCCATCTGCCTCAAGGTTGGGTGTGCAGCTTGAGATGCAATTCTGCCCACCACAGTTGTAAAGAATGGTTATCTGAGTTAAGATGGCTTTTTTGTTTTTTGCACCCTTCTGGTTAAAATCTACACCATGAAAATCCTAGGAGATCAGCAGCTTCAGAGACAGGCTACCAATGACAATGATCAAAGTCACAGAGACACATTCATGTGAACAATACTAGATGCTTCTGGCTTGTATTTGCATGATTTTAGAATTGCACTTCTGTCACATGACTGAGTGATTTGTTTAATGCATGAATAAACAGGTGTATAGGTGTTTGTTTTTAGCCTGTAGTTTCACAACTATGCTACCTGTTCTCTTTTAAGGTCGAAACATGGAAACATTTACAGCATGATATAGAGGCTTAAACACAAACATTAGGAAGTGTAAAACATTTACGGAAAACACAGCAAACAATTTGTGAACAATTATATCATCAAACATCATAAAGGTTTTTACTTGAATGATTTTCTAATTTTTTACGACAAATTGCTGATTGTTAGAACAGAGATAAGATTAATGGATAAAACAAAAATATAAATAATAGATTAACATTTTGTTAGAAATGATATGTATTAATACTTTGTCTATGTTTTCAAGTATCTCCGTGTAGTTCCAGAATAATCCTGCACTTGAAGCATGAAGTATGATATGGATTTTTTTTGTTTTGACAGGTTAAAAAAATGCTTTCTTTACATGGGATACGAGCCAACAGGAGATGAGATGAGTGCGGCGCCACACGTCACACGTACGAGGCGGTCCGGGGGCGCGTCTGCTCCTCAGTAGTAACCGGTGCAGACTACAGCGCTCCGGCTCCGTTGAACGTGGCTCCGCGTATCGGAGACGGTGCAGGCGCACAAGGGGGCGGACCGGAGAGAGGAAACTTGACAGAAAACAACCGCAGTCACTCAGTTGACCTCAGAATAACTGTTCAATTATTTATCTGCGTTAACAGTTCTTTACACAGGCAACTGTGTTCGCGGCTGTGGCGAAGGCGCACCCGGAGAAGGAATAACGCTAGCAGGAAAACGGAGGGAAAGGTGAGGTGAAGGCACGTTTAGGAAGAAGGGAGGGGGGCGACAAGTGAGCGGCCGCTGTCAGAGGTAGGACTCAGCCACAGGTAGCACTGCGTTTGCTCTCGTGGCAGAAGATATCAAAGTGCAGGCGGGTCATGCGGATTTCTCCGGTCTCTGATCGGACCGCCGCGCCACAGCAGTAAAAGGTGGGGAAAGAGAGAAGAAGCAGAACAGCGAAGGACCACGTCGCTCCAGTGCCGCTCCGCTACACCGTCCAAGCAGGCTGCTGCTCAGAGGGAAGAGCCATGTCCCGGAGAAAGCAGAGCAAGCCCAGGCAGATAAAGCGTAAGGAAACCACTTATTTACTTCGGCTGATGTTGTTTTGTTGTGCTTGCTATGCAACGGCGAAGCGAGCGAGCCGCATGGTTCGTGTGGCGCTGCTGTGCGTTCACCATAAAGTTAATAAGTGGTATGAAGGCTGGCTGTAGTGCGTGGCCGCGCGACAGTAGTTTTATGACAGCGTTTTATGGCTAAATGTCTCCTACAACACACACACACGACACCTACAGTACAAGTTACATTTAAACTGAGCGCTACTACGTCCTCAGAATAACCGAGCAGTGGACTGGAGACCTACTGTTTTCCTAACCCTGTTAAATAACAATAAAGCGCCACTTTGCGCCACTTTCACTATCTAGACTGTCCAATAATATAAAGAAGTTTCCATTTGTTGCCCTGAAAAGAAGCTTTGTCCATTGGCAGCTGAAACTGTAGCCGTTGCTTCCTGTTTAATTCTGTTGTGGAAACGTCAGTGTTCTCTGAAAAAGCCGATGTGAACAGAGATAACGCAGCGATCCGATGTAAACGCAGATAAAGATTAAAATTGGATCTTTTTTTATTTGTTTTCTGTCTGAGGCCGCCGCCGCATTTTCCCCCTGGCTTTTCACTTCTCTTTCCCAGAGATGGGGCGTCAGATAGGCCGCCTGGCTGATCTGCTCTGCTGATAGCTGCTTACAATTGGATCTTTTTTCATCTATCCTTTTAACTCAATAATGCATCTTAGGCCGCTTGAAAGGCCCTTTCTTGGTCTGGCGCTGGGCTGGTCTGTGCGCTTGACGCGCGCTTCCTGTTTAGAAAAAGTGTGAAGGTGACTGATGTTCAAAGTTGATAGAAAAGTGTAATAATGATGTTACGATTAAACCCTCCCTGCGCCTGGGAGCTCACAGTAAGGCCGATGGAGAGACTCCTTCTAGGTTTAATGTAATTACACTGGAGATTAGAGAGTAAGGAATACGCGTGCATGTGGGCTGTCTGTCTGGAAGCTACAGCTGGAATGGAAACCATGACATCAGCGGGACATTGAGTTTGGAAGTTATCACACTGAGCAAACAATAATATCTTGTGATCAGTGATTGTGTCACTGTGTTCCCAGAAACCTTGTGTTTAAAATAACATTTGGAAGTTTAGGCTGTATGGACATAAAACAATTCTATTAATGAGCTGATGTTTGTGACCAAATAAGCAGAAGAAGGCTTGGGTGTTAGGGTGACAGCTCTTTGGCTTTGAAACTAAAGGTGTAGCAGAATCACTCCACAAACGAGCTGTCTCATGTGATTTCTATCAACTTTTTTCTCCTGGTCTAAAGCAAACCTCACTTGTGAGTGTTGACACTGTTATGAGTGAGGAGCATTAGGCCAACAACATGTCGCTACAGTTTATTTTTAATCATTTACCATGTTTTTATAGCCACATCACAATTTGATAAAGTGTCATCTTCAAACCACAAGAATTGCTCTTTTAATAATATGAAATGAACATAATTTGATAAGTTATTGGAGATGAAAGGTTTGATTTTACCAGCTATAATTGGTGCTAATTCAGAGAGTTGATCACATTACAGGATGAGACTGCTGGTTCTGCTTGAGATGCTCCCTGTCATTTTCTTGGCCAAACATAGTCTCATAGATGAAGATGTACCACGGCTCCAACAGAGAGATGGCTCTCGCTCTACATAAACGATCCAGGTGACTGCTTCGCTCCGGCATCAGGCAGATAGACAGCAGGTAGCTCAGTGGACGCTGAGTGCAAATGACATGTAGCTTCCACCTACATTATACCGTTGTTTAACGTTGTTACCCTAAAAACTCGGAATAGACACCTCCAGTGTTCAGAGCCGCAAAGCAGTGTGTTATGTCAGATTTTTAAAGTTATGATTTTGGGCATTTTTGCCTTTAATTTGTTAGTGGGTTGCGGAGAGGGGGATGGGGAAACGGGGGACACAGAGATAACGAGAAGGGGAGACCTGCTACAAGTGCCAGTGACTGGACTAGAACCACTGATGTTGCACAGACACTGAACATGCACATGGTGTGATGTTGCATTTGGCTATCGGGGCGCCCCGTCCCCTCAGGTTTTGAAGCTAACATTAACGTTAGCTTAAGAAGCTGAAGGGTAAAGCTGTCAGCAGACTCATTTGGAGTTGTCAGGCAGATATCAACCACTGTCAGATCTGACTCAGTTAATTTACATTCTCTGTAATAAAACAGCACACAGTGCTTTCAGTTATTGATTTCTTATGTGTCAGTCCTGCTGCAAACTGTTTAGTCAGTGGTGTGAGCTAACTAACCTAACAAATGGAATGCTATCAGTCGCACTTTGCAGATGACGGTGAGGTGTTCATTCTTAACCTGAAGATGCAGTTCAAGTTGATGTTAGTTGCTCACTTCCTTCCTCCAATCCTCTGGGTCGCCATTAAAACTTTCTTTTGATGAGCTTTACCACGTAGCCTGTATAAGTGGTCACTTCCTGATTTTTTTTTTCCATAGCTGTTTCCATAGAGAAACCTATCAGCTATGAACTCCCAGCTGTACCTACAGTAAAGCCAGCAGCAAGGCCTGAAGATGAATTCCAGACCCTGAGGCTGATAAACCCAGGCTAGACTTGGTGTGTATGAGAGAGCGAGAGCTTGTGTACGTATGTGCATCTCGGGTGTCATGGCCGTCTTTATCAGTGCTTCTGCTCCACCATGCTTCCCTGTGCACCAGGTCCCGGCTGTAGTCGAGGCCAGCCAGGCTCTCAGCCCCGTGACTCTCTTGTGATTTGACAGACATTTTGATAGGAAAGCGTGAGAGTGATAAGGACTGTCGGCTGGGGCTTGTGGTGTTTCAGCAGAGGTGGGGCTGCTGGTGCTACCACTTCTACTGTCCCTGCTAATTACAGATGCACCCATTGTGATTGTCTTGGCTGATTCAGATTTTTATTTTTTTAGTTTGACCTGCTGATTCTGATTTTCTTTCTAACTAAGAACTGTAATTGACAGCATCAACAAACATTTTAGTAACTTTTCTTTAATGAAATATTCTATTATACTAAAAACAAAACAAACATTATATTGAAGTTTTACATTTTCTGTCTGTCTCTCCCTGTTTTGTTACAAACCTCCAACTAAAAATGAGGTGCGGTATAAACAGGTGTAACAAGTAATAGAACCAAGAATGTGTGTTACATCAGTCCCCCTGAGCACACAGGTCTGTTTGAACTGAGTGTAGTTTGTATCTGCTGTGTTAACCACAGGTTGTTACACTGTAAATACACATGCATTTCATGTGAAGTAAATAGTTCCCTCGTAGTCTCGCCTACTGTTTGGAGCCGTTCCTTCCCCTCTCCATGGTGTTTCTGTTGGCTCCTTTCTGTGCTTTTGTACACCAAGCACCTCTAAGGTGAGCAAACATGCACTGGGCATAGACAGGGGTGCAAGTATCACTCAAGGTGCATGTGAGATGCTACATGTTGCACATGCTACTCTGTTGGTCTGTGTCACTTTGTGTGTGGTGTGAACTGTTGTGCCTCTAGATCTGACTGGCACAGAATTGGACATCTCAGAGCGATTGGCTGGTCACCGGTCAAGGCTGATCACACTGAAAACCGGCCGATTTCTGATCTCTAGGTGGACCGGTGTGTCTCTACTGCTAATACAGTCTGCCCACCGTGAAACCGATGTGACACATTCCAGCCAGGTCCCAGTTTCTTTATGACCGACCCGACTAACTATTCTGAAAATGATTCATATCACACGTTAGTGTAGCTGGATGGTGCCGAGTGACGCCAGAGCCAAGTGATAGCTGTTTCTGTAATTAGTCCTTGTTTTCTAATCCACTCTACTTTGCTGTGCATTTAGAGTTGTAATTAAGGAGCAGGGGTAAAGATGACAGTATGTATGCTTTGAGCCAGGTTCAATTAATTTGACACACTGTTACATTTGAATATAAACAAACTGAAACAGGCAGCATTTGAGTTTTGTCATTTTTGATTACAGTATGTGCACTGGGAGTTAGAAATGCCAACTTAACTCCTTATTTAATGGCTTGTCAGTTTTTAACTGTTCAAATTGAAGAAGAAAACGTGAAGTAGTTAGATGACAAGGAAGGACTCTCACTTTTAAAAATTAAAGGTTTGGTTCAGTGCATGTTATGGGTGGGTTTGAATTAATCCGAACTAATAGCACATTAGCTCTCGTTTGTTTGTTTGTTTGTTTGTTGTAACATCCAGTAGAGCTTAAAGGTGAACAAGCGATGAGGCCGAGTAGTCACCAAAAACGATATCAGGTGAATGTTGGTGTTGCTCTTTGAGCTCCTGATTTCAGGGATATTTTTTATTTAGGCAAGTATCATTGTGGTGTCAGTCCAAACTCGTATCTGCACTTTTCTGTGCATACATAAATGTATATCCCCAGCCCTTCAAGTGATGCAGTGTGGAAGGGTGTAGTTCTGGAGGAGTGAAGCCTTTGCACCGACTTTTGTAAACTGCACCAGAAAAGCAGCATTTGACAACAACCAGCTTTTCTGGAGGCCCATACTAGAGGAGAAGAGGGTGTGTAGCAGATAGATATTTGTCTATGTCTTTTTGTGCGTCATCCTCCCCAACGGTTGCTGATCTTTCAGCTTGATAAGGCTTCTCTCCTTGATGGGGAGATAGGGAGCAGGCAGGCAGCCCACTGAGGCTGGATCCCTGGGCTTATATTTTGGCAGTTAAGATGGGAGACATGATAAAACTTGGCAGCGATTGTTGCTGCTGATATCACAGAAAGCAAGAGAGAGAGAGATGGGAGGCTGGGCAGATGGAAGGAGAGATGGAGGATGGAGGGCACATTATAATTACAGCTGGCTGTTGCATGCTATTTTCCTAGTATTGTCTTATTTGGTAGTTTTGTTTGTGATTGGCTGGAGGTTGCATCTCTAGATAATTAAAAGAAGGGAAAAGCAGAGGGAGGAGAAGAACAGGAGTGGAGACAGTGGGTTGAAGGAGAGAGGAGTGAAAAAGTGAGTGCAGTTTATAACTGGTAGGAT